TACTTTTTATGCACCTTTCCTAATGCTTGCCATTATGAATTTTAACAGAAAAGTTCTCCCCACTACTTTGATGAAAGATCATACGTATTGAGATGACTTGCCTATTATTTCTGTCTAAATAACCCTGGAATACCCAGTACCCATCACCTGGGATAAATACACATTTGACATTTAGGATTTTTGCATTTATTCACAAATGAAATTGGCCAATAAAATTTCTCCCCCTTTTTGGGAACCCTGCCATGTTAGCTAACTGAATAAAGTGAGCTACATGGCTTTGCATTGCTCTGCAAGTTTATACGGAAATCATCTGTTCACTGAAAGTGGAAAAGAGCTCCGCTATAAAACTTGCTGAGTGAAATAATAAGTGCTCTGAAGAGAAAGTAAGGTGAAAGAATTGAGTGAACACACTCTTTTGGATCAAGTGTATAGAAAGGGCATCTTAAATGAGAAGAGACCACAGTGAAGTGAGGGAGCAGGTCATGTTTGAGAGAAAAGCAACATAGGCAGAAGAAGCAGAGGGCAAAAATCTTCTTGCTTGGCAGAGTCAAGGAACAGTAAGGAGACTAGATATTGGGGGGCAAGTGGTAAGATATGAAATCTGAGAGGTCATGAGGAGTCAAGTTATGTAGGGCCTTATAGACAAAATTCAACAAAACTTGCATTTTTGTCATTTCTGTACATCTTAAATTTTGTTCCTTAACTTTTTCTATCTTTTTTATTTGACTGCCCTCTTAGCATATTTTTCTACTTTGTCATGATTTTAATAAAAGTTTAGGAACATAAGTTTTCTTTTAAGTACAGTTTTGCTACATGCCTTAACTTTCTAGGATGTAAATCATATGGTATCCCTATATCTGTAAGGGAACTCAACAAGCATAAGTTATTAATGAGCACATTGCTGCCCCAAACAAAATCAGGATTCTCGCAGTAGGGAAGAATGGGATAGTAAATATTGGATAAGCTACTAGCAATATCTCTCATAAAATCCTATGGGCCTGGCAGGCTTTCCGGGGGACTCATGTGTTATATATGTTGTCACCAAATATTACAAAATTGAAAGGTATCCAGTGTATTTTATGAAATTTTCCAGCATCTCATATCAAAACCCAACAAAGATGGCTGAACAGGAAAATTATAGACCAAGTTAATGTATGAATATAACTGTGAAAACTCAAAATACAAACATGCCAATTTTTCAGTACCTTAATGGAACCATCCATTATAAGTGCATAAGTTTCATAGTATAAATGCAAGAATACTTTAATATTAGGAAATATTTCAATACAATACGACATATCAGAAGATCCAATAAAATGTGATAATCAAAATAGATAAGGTCTTGGTAAAATATTGTTTGATTAAAAGACCGATCTTAAGACAATTAAGACCAGAAATATATTTCTTTAATGAAATAAAGATATTTAACATCCTATTCTGGCCAGGTTTATCCCAGTTTAAAGAATAGAAGTTTAGTCCAGATATCTCAAACCTTCTAACTCTTTGACTAGAATAATAGCTTTAAAGAGTGTCTGAAATAGCATGCCATAAAACCATAATAATGTGCTCCTAGTTACTTCTGCAAGTTTCTCAAGGTATTCCCTTCTCAGTACTGAAGAGTACATTCCTTCTTCCTTCCCCAGCTCAGATCATCCCAGAATGCCACTAGTTTGGTAGAATTCTGGGCATCCTGTTCTAGACCCAGGGTAAAATAGCATCCCCTTATTCCTATTTTTGCAATGTAAGTATAAAAATGAGATTACTTCTAATATTGCCTTTAAACTTTTAGAATTGGGTGGTTTCATGAAATCTTATTCCTTTGTGAAGTGTGTAATAAGAATGTACTCTGATAATAAATAGATTAAGGCTTTAAATTCTGAAACCACAGCATTTTGTGGGGAGAGGGGCAATATGGAGGATTGAAATGCTGACCCTTGCAATGAGCTACATCTCCGGCCCTTTTTGTTATTTTTTATTTGAGACAGGGTCTCACTAAATTACTAAATTGCCTAGGCTGGGTTTGAGATTGTAATTGTCTTGCCTCAGCCATCCAGAATGCTGGGATTATGGGCATGTGCCACCACACCCAATTGTAATGTATGTTTGTTGGATTCTCTTCCTTTGCATTTAATTTCTTGTTCTGCCCCATGGATTCATTCTGCTGGGCTTCCTGGGGTTGTGATCCTCATTGT